CAGCTGAAGAAAGAGGGCAGCTGTGAAGCTCTAAATTGTCTCGTCTAGTTGACTAGTTTACTTTTAACAAATATTAGTAGTATCGTCCAACATTTTGGTAAAGAATATAAGCGAACAGAGTATCAAAAATTAGCTTCCACAGTTCCTATTTGCAATGTTAATTATAGCTAACCTGGGGCACGGTGAATACCTTCAGGAAGTTGGCTACCGTTGAAGTCACTTCGCTTTCAGAAGCGCCTATCACTCCGATTAGACGGTACCACTTCTCAAACGTGGTATTTTCTGCTTTCGGGTACTGCTGCGGACACGTAATTAAACCACTTTCAATGCATTCAGAAAAGTACTTATCATCTTGAACATCTTTCTGTACCATCTGAAGAAGTCTTGCCTAAATAAAAAAAATGTACACATAATACTAAACAGTAGATTAAGCAACACTTATTAATCAATATTTTGCCAGTACCGCAACTAAGGCGAATATCTCAAACTTTGGTGTGACCAAAATCTCCATTTCGAGGAGGAAGTTGGTTGGAGGGAATTCGTGAATTGGTCTGATCTAAAAGCGAAGAAGTGAAGACAGTATGGATTGCGAAGAGGGCTTGGCTCATCCTTCTGAGAGTGCAATTAACTCATGCTTAGCTTTCGTCTATCCTGCGATGACAGGCATCCTCAGGGCGAGAGAACACAACTTACAAAATACCGTAACAATATACTAAACCAAGAGAAAAGGTGGCTGGTCTTGGGGACAGCTTCAATCAGAATGTACTAGTCGAGCCAACGACAGGTAGCCAAGAGGAATCTACTATCATCTTATGACGAGATCGACCTTCAGCAGCAGATCACTTTCGACCGCCTAAACTTGGGATCTGGTGTTGACGGCGAAATGATGGAGAAGACGATTGTCCAATTTCAACGAAACTGTTCACAAAGCAAGCAAGCGGACTACCGAAATTCCGCTTGAGTGTGCACCGGGGTTCTGAGAGGAATCACGACGTCAAAGAAAGAAATCACGAGTACCTTAGAAAAGACGAGACACTGTTCCTGGAGTGAAGTGAGAGACTCAACGGGAGTCAAGCACAAACATGAAAGAAAGTGAAAGTTAAGCCCAAACCACAACGGTTTGCTGGCTACGAGAAGTTCACATTCAAGCGTAAGAATAGCGAGACTGTAGAGATAAATGGAACAGTCAAACTTCTTGATAGGAAGAACAAGTGTAGGAAATAAAGT